TTTGTTCTCAGTAAAGTCCTTCATATCGACCGGCCATCCTAAGAGCTATCCCAAGATCAGCACCATACCCTGCATGATCTCCTGACAACCGGCAATGTAGGTATCCTTGGCCAGAGCATTGACCCATTGCTGGCCGACCTCAGTCTCATCAGCCAATTTCACCCTCTGCTTCTGTCAGTCCGGACCCTGGGGGAGGTGCTCCAAGTGCTTCCCAAACAGGACACCCGCATGACTGCATGAGCCACACCATACTCCTCAGCGGCTCTGGTAATGTCCTTTGAGGCTCGAAATTCAGCCTGGACCGCTGCCCGGATGATGGATAGATTCACATTTATTTCCCGAGGACTGTCCGAGATTTGAGACTTGCTTTCTTTGAAGATGACTTGGGCGCCCTCAACAGCTGCCACCTTGGCCTGAGAGGCGGCAAGTTCAACTCGGAGCTGGCCGAGCTCCTCTTCAAGTTTTTTCCTCTCCTGCTTGGCCAGGCGGAGCACATCAGCGGTCGCCTGCTCGGAATTCGCCCAGCCCGGACAAATTCTTCCTCTCTGGCCAGTCGGGCGATTTGGAGTTGTAGACTGTAGAGGCCGACCTGAGGAAAGGCAGTTATGCAGGAAACATCAAAACTCAAAGGAACAAACAGATGAACGGACGGTACATGTATTTACCTTAAGAGTAACCAAAGAAACCCCCGCTTCGGCCTACTCAACCGTCAGTCGCGGGAGATTGAAATCATTAAGCAGAGCGGGGGTATTCTAGATCCGGCTAGTAGGACATCCCGATTGCTCCCGAACCTCATGGAGCGGATCCTCCAGGGTGATCCGCTCGACGAGCTTTGATATGTTGGACTGTTCGGCCTCCAAATTGACAGCATCAGACGAACCTAGGTGATCAGCAAAGAGAGGGTTGGAATGCGCAACCTCGAACATCTGGTCCATCGCCATGGCCTCAAAATTTACCTTCTCGAGAGGTATCTGTTGGATTGGCTCGGGTTGCTAGGCTACAGTTGCGAGGGTTCCGGGGCTGAGGTCTGAGCAACTTTCTTGGTGGGTCTTTTCCTCTTGTTAGCATCACCCATTTGTGCAAGACGACCTCTATCCATGGCTGCTTCGATATTGGGAGCTGTAAAAAGAGAAGGAAAATATTAGTACCGAGCGGTCTTAGCGTGTGTGAAACGTGCATGTTATGTAAGTTTCTCGCACGGGAAGGACCGCCCGGGCCATGGCACTTGGTTTTCAGTCAAGAGTCCAAGGAATTCGGGGGTACCTATCCCGGCTTCGACAAGTCGAACAGGGGTCAGATAATCCATAATCTGTGACGTCTGGGCCTTCTCCACTGCAATGATTTTGTTCCCCAACTCCTCAGAAACGAACGGCTCAGTGGATTTAAGTGGTTAGGCATTCCACCTTTATGGGATGAGGCCGTCTGGAATTGATACAAAAAAGAAACGGTCTTTCCATCCCTTGATGGAGGTGAGGTTCCCATTGAAGAGGATTCGGCCCGTTCGGGCGCTCACCGCCAGGAACCCAACGGTCTGTTGTGGGGCGACTTTGAAGAAATGATGGAAGAGGTCTAGATCAGGCACCACGTTGACATCCACACACCGACAAATAAACCCGGCCATCACTTGTTAGGAGTTCGACATTATCTAGTCTGGGACTACTTCACAGTGGTTAAAGAAGGCTACGAAGAACGGATGCAACGGGAATCTTTGCCAGCCTTGACGGAATCAAAATGCACCACCACCATTCCAGGACGGTGGTACAATGGGTGAAGCCCGACCTGTATGTGAAAATCAACTGGGTCAGGAATTAGAGCGGGAATTTGGGCCCTAAGCTTGGGGGAGAGCCTTTGCCTCCGCTTTCGGATGGACCCTCAAATCAAGGTGATGACGAGGGGTCTCATCCTGAGGGCCTCTCCTCCCTACCTCCATATCATCTCCAGACTTAGCGTCGTCAGAATCGCTTCCCGAAGTACTCTCTGTGGAATCGCCTGATGATGCGTCATGAGTATCCCTGGCAGAAGGGATGTCACCAGCCGCATTCTCTGCAACTGCGCTGGTGCCCACCGTGGTGTCAATAATCACATTGGTCTTGTCCTTCCAATCTATTTCATTGACAACGGGGGCCGAACAAGAAGAATCAGAAGAGCCAGAAGTAGGGGTGGGAAAACCCGAACCGAAACCCGGAAACCGGCCCTGACGCGGCCCGAATTATGATATCGGTCCGGGCTTTTTCTTTTTGACCGGCCTGAATAAAAAAAAACGGACCGAACCCGAAATTTCGGGCTCTTTAACGGGCCCTAAAATCTATAACCCGGCCCGGACCGATAAAACCCGAAACAATTAGCCTTAATATAAAATCAATATAATATACCAATATAATTTATAAATTAATTTGAATTCTTGGTGATTTTGGAGACTAATATTTGTGATTTTTATTAATTTTATTTGCGGTTTGTACTTTTTATTAATTTTATTTGAAAAAAGATTTTAAAATATAAAAGAAAAATGAGTGATTTCACATCCGAGCTTTAACCGACCCAACCCGAACCTGGGCTACAAAAAACCCGACTCGGACCGAATATAGTGGGCTTTTTTCGGTCCCTAATTTTCATAACCCGATGCCTTACGGGTAATTTCCGGGTTTAGCAAAAACCCGACCCGGACCGGACCGATCTCACCCCTAGCCAGAAGCGCTAGAACTCTCAGACTTTCTTACCAACGGAAAAACTGAGGGAAGAAAGGAAGAAGGAAAAACGGAAATTACCTGAGCGAATTGGGAAATTAGGGTTCTAGGGAGAAGGCAGAGCAATTGAGCGAGGGAGCAAAAAATCAAAAACCCGGAACCAGGGGCCCAAGGCATTATTTATAGGCTAGAAGACATCATTTCGCGGGCCAATCAGAGAAAGACACGTGGCGAGGAGCATCCCCAGGGACACGTGTCACGTAGAGATGGAACGTCAGGTAATCATGACATCACTTGGGGAATTTAATCGACAGCCGCAAAGAACCGTCAAATCGAACTTCGGGAACCAGCAATCCCCAAACATCATACGCCGAGCGGGGTAAGACCGAACGGCAAGAAAGCACAATTTTACTTCCTTATGTCCCGAGCACGCTCAGAACATCGGAAATGGGGGACTTATGTTGGGATATTAGGGTCCGGCCCAATATACTGGCCCGAAATATCCCCAGGGCCCAAGAGCGAGGTCAAGCCCAAGGTGGAGCGAGGGGGTTCCGAACGAGATTTGGGCAACTAAAGAAGACACCCGTTCGGCACATCCCAGACGGGACATAATTCACTCTTGGATAACTAGTGTACTTATGGCCTAATAGCTCAGCGGATCCCAGCGCCGATCGGGGTTTCGTACAAGTGGCAGGCTGCATTTAATGCTAAAGTATGGAGGTCTCAACTAGGAGCATGGGTACATAAGTGGCATGGAAATCAACCAATCATATTGGATCACCCCATACCCCCACCTACCCACCTCTAATATAAATACCATCATTTATTTCATCGAAAAAGGTTAGCATTTGTTGACTCACTAGCTCATATTGCATTCTAGCTTTTGTATCAGACTGTGGACCGTAACTCATGTTCGGCCATTTCTCTGTAATTGCATTTACTGCACTAATACAACTGGAGTTATTAAGTGAGTATATCAGCTTTTATATTTCTTTTAAACACTTGTACTGTAGCAACTGTATCCTAGATCCAAAGGTTGGTGTTGGGCCTTCGGATCCATTCGGGACTTAATCTCAACACCTGCCTTTTCATATTCTCTCCTACTTTTTCTATAGTATTCGTTATCTCTACTATTCCCCCTCTTAAATATTGTGCCTAGACCTAATGTACTGATCTTTTAAATATGGAAGGAGTATATTAATTGACGATAAATTATTTTTAATGAATAAGTAATAAGGTGACTATGCATTTTTACGAATTGCATTTTTTTGATGAATGCAAAATAGGGGGTGTGCAAATATGTGAAAGTGAGTATGTCATTCTTAAACTATACTTGAATGTGTATGTCATTCTTTAATGGCTCGAGTTCTTATTAAGTGATAATAACGAACCATTACAACACACCCTACTGCTAGTCGATGCCGAACGTCTAATTTGAACTGAGAATACAAGGGAATAATTGCATGCTAGTGAGTCCAAGTTGTCAACCCCTGACTATGAAAGAAATGTTCCTATTTATACTACCAAGGGGTAGGTGGTAACGATGATGTGGAGTATTGTGAGTGGCTAGTTTCTCAACTACCAAATCTGATGCATTAAATGCGTTTCTTGCCATTATCTTGCTTTCCCGCCAATATGTGCCTGCCGATCGTCTCCGTGCTCCCTGATTCTGGACTCAACTTGGCACAAGGCCAGACACGCCGCTCGGGCCATGCCGAGCGCCCCCCTTGAGGCCCGCCAACTGATTGCCCTGGCCCTAACTGGCCAGGATGATGTGGTTGATCGTCGTAATACGAAGACGAACGTCTGGCATGCTTTGTGGGTCGTTATTCGGTCCCTTCTTCCTTATGGGGTATTGGGCTGGTCGGGTATTGAGCCAACTACCTCGACAAGTAGCTTTAGCATTCTTGAGTAATACTACTTTTGCCTCAAAATGATTTATAAAGTCGATATTTTTTTGGTCAACTTGTGTTAATGTTAAATCCTTCCTATTGACAATAAATTCAATTCTAATAATTAAAATTTGTATATTCTGAAACTTCATTAAAATTTATTTAAAGTTGAAAAATACCCAATCAATGTAATTAAAAATTGATACCCTAATTAAGTGAATAAAATAAGACTGTTTAATCCAAAAAATTGACTTTGCAAATCAATTTGGGACGGAGGGAGTATTAAGATTCGGCCGATTGAATCAATTTCAATTTTATCAAATGCATTCAAAATATAATCGCACAAAATGTACTACTTTTTATAATTTATTATATTATTATTTCCAATCTAATTTAAAAAGTAATTTGAACATATTAAAAAACATTAACAATATAGACTTTGTACAATTGTAGATGCATTTTTTTTTTGAACAAATTGCATGTAGGAGTACAAAATGAAATCAAACTAGCAATGTTGGGCAGGTCCTAACAATATGGTTCTATTGGCATCCCCCATTTTACTAAAATAAAAAGTTTTCTCCCAATAAAATTCATCGCCAAACTAATTGTCCTGGCAGCGTCCAACACCACAACCGCATTTACATCACTGCTCGTTTCCTCCTTACCGGAGAAAGTGGTTTAGAAGCTCGGTCAAAATAGCACGAGACTGGATCCACCTTCTCTGTTTCTTCTAAGCGAGGCCCGCAAAATAGTTTCCGGTTTCCTTTTTAGGTCGTCCCAGAAAATAGTTCTCATTTCTCCTTTTGGAAAGTTTTGTGTGACTCATATTCATTTACCTTTTTCTTATTCAACTACTCCCTCCGTCCCTGTTTTTTCTCCCATTTCGGCTGGGCACACTAATTAAGATAGTGGGTTTTATGTGGTGGAGAGTTGTGCAGAGGAGAGAGAAATGTGTAAGAATGTGTAAGAATGATTGTGAACCACAAATTCTTTGCCAAAAAGGGAAGGAATAGATAATTTTGGGACGGACGAAAAAGGAAAGTTTGAAGATAATTCAGGGACGGAGGTAGTACAATCATACATTTTCACTTTATTCCAATTTTCTTAAACTCCAATCGATCCAAGTTAATGCGGAATTATTTTATGGGAGGGGAGTAATATTTTTGATATTGTTCCAAAAAATGCGCTATCAGCGGTTTTTGAATCGAAACTGGGCATTGTTGGTGGTTTGGAATCAAACAAACGTACCCACACACCCATAATAAAGTCCCCGAGTTTCACTCAATTCGTTTCCCGCCTCTGTCATCCAGCACCAATGGCGGACAACAAGAAGAAGAAGCGTGGGCGAGCGACCCACGAAACAGGCGCTGACCGGATCCCCTTCAAATCCAAGGTCAAACCAGACTCTGTAATTCTCCAAACCCTAAAAACCTTAAAGGAAGCCGCGCTAGCTTCCTCCTCCTCCTCCTCCAAAGCCCTAACCCTTTCCGACCTCGACCTCACCGGTTCCTTCCGCGAAGTCAAAGATCTCCCGCTTTCCTCTGTGAAAACCACCATCGAGGATCTCTTCCTCACCCTTGCACGCTCCATCCTCTCCGGCCAAGGCTTTTCCTACTCCGTCCCCTCCCGCTCCGCCGCCAACCAGCTCTACATTCCCGAACTCGATCGCATCGTACTTAGGGACAAGGCCTCTGTTCGCCAATTCGCCAATGTTTCCACCGTCCGCAAAACCACTATCACCACTCGCATCCTCCGCCTCATCCACGAGCTCTGCTTGAAAAACATCCACGTCACAAAGCGTGACCTCTTCTACTCCGACGTGAAGCTGTTTCGGGACCAGACGCAATCCGACGCTGTTCTAGATGATGTGTCGTGTATACTCGGCTGTACCAGATCTAGCCTGAACGTGGTCGCTTCTGAGAAAGGGGTTGTTGTGGGAAGGCTTATTTTCAGTGACGCTGGTGATGTAATTGACTGCACGAAGATGGGAATGGGAGGGAAGGCCATACCCCCAAACATTGATCGGGTAGGGGATATGCAAAGTGATGCACTCTTCATACTATTGGTGGAGAAGGATGCTGCTTATATGAGACTGGCAGAGGACAGGTTTTACAATCGATTTCCTTGCATAATTGTGACGGCCAAAGGACAGCCAGATGTAGCCACTAGGCTGTTCTTGAGGAAAATGAAGATGGAGTTGAATTTGCCTGTGCTAGCTTTGGTAGATAGCGATCCCTATGGATTGAAAATTCTGTCTGTGTATGGGTGTGGATCGAAGAACATGTCCTATGACAGTGCAAATTTGACAACCCCGGATATAAAGTGGCTGGGGGTTCGGCCTAGCGATTTGGACAAGTATAACATACCTGCGCTGTGCAGGCTGGATATGACGGAGCAGGATATTAAAACAGGGAAGGATTTGCTGGAAGAAGACTTCGTAAAGAAGAACCCGGGGTGGGTTGAAGAGTTGAGTTTGATGGTTAAATCCAAACACAAGGCTGAGATTCAGGCTCTGAGCTCATTTGGCTTTCAGTATCTCACCGAGGTCTATTTGCCATTGAAGCTTCAACAGAAAGATTGGATCTAATGATGCAGACATGCCTAGTTTAAGCGTATAATAAAGTAAGTATTACACTTGTCCCCTACAGATTTGAAAACCAGTATGACCTTTTTTTTAGAAAAATGGACAAGAACAATCCCAGCTATTATTGATCTGCTTTAAATAATCTAAACTATCGAGTATCTCAGAATAATCCCAACTATTGAATAAAATTCTCGAGTGCTCCAGTGACTTGCAATAACCCGTAAATGACTGGTATTGGAGAAGAATACATTTTTCTTGTATTCTTATACAACAACATCAACAACATCCAAGCCTTAGTCCCAAAAGATATTGGGGTCGGCTAACATGAATCGATACATGATATCACAACCAAAAGGAAAAAAAGGAATAAAGATAAAAAGATAAGCTATTATGAAAAGATAATATAAAAAAAGATGAATATATATAAAAATGATAAAATAAAAAGGCTGCAAATAATGCTTATATATATATAAGGATAAAAAACTAGGAAAAAAAAAGATGAGGGAAAAAGATTATCAAGATCACTCCTTCACGTGAATACCTGCCCTCCACTTAGTTCTCTCCAAAGTCATGCCCTCATCCAACTCCAGAAGAAGCATATCACTTCGAACTCCCCTAACCCACATCTGTTTGGGTCTTCCTCTCCCTCTCTTCCCTGCCTCTTCTCCACACATCTCAACTCGCCTAACAGGTGCATCACTCGGTCTTCTACGCACATGACCAAACCACCGTAGGCGCGACTCCCGCATCTTGTCTTCAATAGGTGCTACTCCCACCCTTTGTCTGATTGTCTCATTCCTCACGCGGTCCTTCCTAGTATGCCCACACATCCAACGCAGCATGCGCATCTCTGCCACACTCATCTTTTGAATGTGACATTGTTTCACCGCCCAACACTCTACGCCATACAGTAATGCAGGCCTAATTACTATCCTATAAAATTTACCCTTCAGTCTAGTCAGCATACCTCGGTCGCATAGAAATCCTGACGCACTCTTCCACTTCATCCACCCTGTTCTGATTCTATGGGATACATCTCCATCTAACTCACCGTCCTTCTGAATTATGGAGCCCAAGTAACGGAACATATCGCTGACTGGTATCTCCTTACCATCCAGAGTAATTCCGCTATTACCACTACTTCTACCTCCACCAAACTTGCACTCCATGTACTCTGTCTTGCTCCGACTTAGTTTGAAACCCTTATTCTCTAATGTTTGTCGCCATACTTCCAACTTTGCTTTAAGACCTGATTGCGTCTCATCAATCATTACAATATCGTCGACAAACATCATGCACCACGGTATATCGTCTTGAATTGACTTCGTAAGTTCATCCATGACTATGGCAAATAAGAAAGGACTCAAGGCCGATCCTTGGTGCACTCCGATAGTAATAGGGAACTCTTCAGTCCTCCCTACACTAGTACGAACACTTCTTGTACAATCCTCATACATATCCATGATGATGCTGATATACTTGCGTGATATGCCTTTCCTAGTTAAGGCCCACCAAAGAACTTCTCGAGGTACTCTATCATATGCCTTTTCTAAGTCAATGAACACCAAATGCAGATCCTTATGAGCATCTCTATACTTCTCCATAAGTTTCCGAAGAAGGTGAATGACCTCAGTTGTTGAGCGACCAGGCATAAAACCGAATTGATTATCTGAAATCTTCACAGTCCTTCGAAGTCTTTGCTCAATCATTCGCTCCCAAAGTTTCATGGTGTGATTCATAAGCTTAATCCCTCGATAGTTGACACATTCTTGTACATCACCTTTATTCTTAAATAAGGGGATAAGAGTACTCTTCCTCCAACTCGTTGGCATCTTGTTGTTTCTCCAAATCATGTTGAAGAAACTTGTTAACCACTCGACGTCTCTCTCCCAAACTTCTCAAGCCTCGATCAGTATGCCATCTGGCCCCATTGCTCTTTTCCGTCCCATCTTCCTCAGAGCTTCTTTAACTTCCGTTGTTTGGATCTTTCTCACAAAATCACGGTTTTCTTGTATTCTTATACGGAATTTATTTTACTCGCAAACAAGTGTTGTACCGGAAGATAGAAAAGAAGGAAGGGTTTAACATGAAGATGAAAGCATGTGGTTGTTCATCTTAAAATACATTATTAGTACACAATCTGATAGTAACAACGAAAATTCAATTCAGTGCACCATAGGATCGATTTGAGGATATCTATAACTCAATGAAGAAGGTGACAAGTTTTTATATGAGGTTTTATGGTTGCACATTATGATCGGCATGTTAGGTAAAAAATAATAATTTTATTTTCATTATTGTAATTTGATTGAAACTTCTCAACTGTGGGGTAAAAGCAAGTAAGCCACCCACTCAAACCGGCTTTCTCTTGCATCTGAAGTGTTTTCGTTTTTGTGGTGCTAATAATAGTACAAACCTTCTTGTAGTATTTCTCTGAGAAAGCTATGTGATTTTTCAAAAGCTCTGGTCCTTATTCTTTGTGTATGGGAGGACTTATTTGCTATTTTCAAACAGCTCTTCCTATGAATATTTTTGCTAGCTAGTTGTGTATGGAGATGAGAAAAAACAAGTGTTGCAGCAGGCCGTAAGCTAAGGCTATGGCCTAATAAAATTATAAAGTCTAGTTGGCTTTTACCAGAACAACCGGTTTCTCAAGAAGTGACAAGATTTAGGGAAGATTTTCTTTAAAGAAGGATTATCTTGAAATAATTAATCGTTGGGATGATTTCAAGTCCATACTTGGGATTATTCTTAACAATGTTTCCTTGTTTTGTTATATAGTACAATTCATGTGTGGTATATTACTAGCATTTTCGTTCTACCAGAATGATGATCCAAAGATTTGTTTTCTATTCTGGTCAATTCAGGATTGGGTAAAATTGTAAACAAAACTAATTTAAAGTTAGATAAATGTGTGTGTATTCCATCATCATGCTCTAAACAAATTGGCTATTAGTAAGTGTCTGAATAATGTGCAGGGTTGAATGATTAAGTTAGTTTTTAGCGGAATGAATACATTGCGTGTCCAATTAACTCGTATGGTAATCACGTCGGAATGGCTGAACATTAAGTGAGTGTTCGGATTACGCCCATTAAGGTGTTGTTCAATTCACCTTAATCGTATACTCCCTCCGTCCCTTAAAACTTGATCAAGTTTGACCGCTACGCGGATTATTAAAGTAAAAATTGTGTGGTTGAGGTTTGTGTAGAGGAGAGCGAATTTACTGGAACCACAAATTTCTTTACTTAAAAGGGAAAGTGGCAAAGTTAGAAAGTTAGTGGGAAAATCAAAAAAGGAAAGTTGTCAAAATTTTGAGGGACGAAGGGAGTATTCCTTATTGCTTATTCCTAATTTAATTAAATCAGTTCATAAATATTCAAATTATATTAAAAACATGTAATCGACACATTTAATCTTGGTCATGCTTCGCCTAGCGAGGAGAGAATCCCTATTTCATCTATGGAAGATCTATCGGACTCCGATCCAAATCAAGATATCTATAACAAGATCAGGCTGGTCATGACAGAAAACTGTTTGCCTACACAAAACTTGAACACGCAAATTAAAATGTACTGGAGGAAGAATCAATGATCGCATATCATCAGGACAATAAAATTTCATGATGTACTTAGGGTTGGCTTGCTTGCATTTCATTTTTATTTCATTCTCCTTTTTCTTTTTTCTTTCCCTCTCTCCTTTTGTATTTCCCTTTGATCCTAAATAAAATTTCATTTTTTCCAAAAAAACATTACAGTATTACACTGTACTATTTCATCTATTTGCTAGGTAAACATTACACAGTTTTATTATGTGTTATTAGTACTATTATTATCATTATACTAGGTGTAGTGAAATTATTATAATATAGATGACTTTGTTGGATCAGCAATATGAAATGAAGACAATGAGTTGGAGGATCAAAATCGATATATTTATAGTTATTGTTGTCGGTTTATAAAATATTTCATCTATTTGTTAGTTAAACATTACGCAGTTTATAAATTAAGTATTACACTCTACTATTATAATTTTATTTATACGAACTATTAAAATAATATTACTAGTATGATTATAACAAACACTACTTGTGTTTAACAATACAAACAACAATAATAAATTGATAATAATATGTGTTGATGTTATATAGATATAAGTAATAGCATTAATAATATACATTTAGATAAAATCAGCAAAAGCTACCAAAAGAAGATGAGATCAGCAAGATTCAGATATGATAAGAGAGAGATATTCAAACCTGAAAGGTTTTAATTAGATAAAAAGATTCAAATCAAATTAGGTCCTAAAAGATTAAGATGAGAAACATTTAGATGAGGTGAACTGAAAAACGGCTTCTAAGTCTTAATTGACAGCCATTTACTCTTGCCCCCGCATGGCTATGAAAACTAGTATGAATGCTTACCTAGTACCGTTCGCGTAGGGCTGATTACTGCATTTGCATTCTATTCTGATACAACTAATGATAATGTTAACATATGTTCTTTACTGCGGTCAGATCTAAATTATTTTCACAATTCGCTGCAAATTTTCCGAATTTACGTGTACATTATGAGCTGCACGATTTTCTGCTTTTTTACCTTCTTTAAGAACTTCCTCGAATGCATGATTTTCTGCCTTCTGATGTAACTTTTATGGTTTCATCATCAATGTATAAAAGCATGATGTTTCCTGGTATTAGGCATAACAGATTGAGGCTGAAACATAACAGTGTAAAAACAAAATTTGTTCTAATCCTTGTATTTTTGAGCTACATCAGGATCTCCTCTATTTTTGAGCTGCAATGTTTGGTTGTGGATCCCTTCCTGGGACACATATCAACGGCGTCCTCAAAGGATTTGATGTGCAGGAGGGATGCAGCACGTGACAGCCAGCCAAAGGGCTGAAGAGCTGCGGTGCAACACTGGCAGCCTGCTGACAGTTTAGTACTGATAGCTGGAGTATTATTAGTTAAGTCTGGCCCAGTGCCTTGGCTGTGCCTCTGATTAGTTTCTTCTTATCCGTGTTAGTTTGAGTCCTAGCTAAATTGGTCCGTTTCTTAACGAATTTAGGACTTCCGGCTTTAAGTTTTATACTCTTATGTAGCCTCTATCTATTTAAGGGCCTTCTATTATAATTCCTACAAACGTGGTTTTAATATTTATTTCTGTCTTGCATAGATTTGTAATTCTAAGCACTAAAAAACTGCATGATGGATGAAATCTAAGGGCCTTCTATTTTTGTTTTGGAATTCTAAGCACTTATCCGAGAGCTCCATCTGTGCTATCTTTGCCTTTTGGATGAAATCTTACGCATGTGGTGTTAACAGTTTTCTGCAGGGATGGTCAAATAGCTGCTAAAACTGAAGACCCCATTGACATGTAAACTGGTTTCCCGTCTGACATCAGCTTTCCATTTTCAGTTTTGGCCAGTGACTGAAAAACTGAAAACCGTACTGGCTTTAATCAAGAGTCCTATTCCCATAGACGGAACAATAAATTAAATTGAAAAAATTCCACTTTTGGTCCCATGACTATTATACCACTTCCACATTTAGTCTCCTACTTTTAGATTTTCCACATTTAGTCCGTGACCATTATTCCCTCACCACCTCTCGTCCTTCCGGCCAAAATTCCGGCAAATTTAATGCATATTTTAGGTATGAAAAACCAAATTTAATTGAAAGACTGATATGAAAAACCCAACCTGATACAAAAATAAATGCAAAGACTGATTGTGAGGTTGAGAAGTGGACTAAATTTGTCGGAATTTTGGCCGGAAGGACCGAGGGTGGTGAGGGGATAATGGTCACGGGCTAAATGTGGACAATATGAAAATAATGGACTAAATGTGGAAGTGGTATAATAGTCATGAGATCAAAAGTGGAATTTTTTCAAATTAAATTAGAAGTCATAAATCCATAACAGCAAATCTTAAATCCTCATCCCCCAACCGATTGTCTGTATACATTTTCAAGAACGAACCTTTAGTGAAGTCTAATAAATCCCCATCTTTCATATTTGCTTCAGCCATGTTGCAATTTGCTTAGATCTGCAAGACTGCAACTAATCCTATTTTTCCTCATATTATTTTTACGGTTCAGATCTGCTTATTTCTTTTATGTTGATGTTTTTTTTTAATTTGTATGCTAGATTTTCGTGTATAATGTTAGATCTGCATGATCAGATTTTCATATCTATTTTTTTTTTGGATAAAGGGTAATTATTTATATCATCCAAAAGAGTTTATGTACAGGTAAGGCAAAAAAATGGGGGACAAAAATGGGGCTATCCCAACAAGCGGATACACCAGAAACATGTGGACTATACAATCATTCCCAAACCACACAAAATAAGGTATTTAGCCGCACCCCATATCAAGTATCAAAAAGTAATGAGCTCATGAGGGTAAATACTACTTCCTCTGTCCCTCTAATATTGGTACGGAAGGAAGTGATGTGGTTTTTAAGAAAAGTAGAATTATGTGGTTGGTAATGAGTTGATAAAGTGGAAATAAAGTAAAAATGAATTAGAGCCACACAAATGTTACCAAATATGGTATGAGACAATAATAAAGGGACATCCAAAAATGAAAAAATTGGACAATTATAGGGGGATGAAGGGAGTATAAAGGATCTTATACACCATGTATTGGATCCTTTCAAAAACTTCCTCCTCACGGGTCTTCTTATCATCGAATCTGGTGGCATTTCGAACTCTCCATATCCAGTATATAGTGTAGATGAAAGCAATTCTGATAGTCTTGGCCTTGATCCACACACCTGCACGATCCTTCTTAATCCATTTTACCGCGCTGTCCAGGGTAGACATCTGCCTAGGCATTCCAATCCATGCTCTTACTTTATTCCAAATTGTACCTGTAAATTTGCATCCAAAGTATAGGTGTGTTACCGTCTCCGGTTCACCCTTACAAAAAGGACAAATGTTAATCACATCAAGCCTACTAAGATTATCATACGTTGCAAGGTGGTTGCGGAAGGCAAGCCATGCAATGAATGAGAACTTAGGAGGTATGTAAGCTTTCCAAATAAAGGACATCCACACCTGTTTAGTGCCCTTCACTCTAATCGAATCATATACCTTTGAAGAACACAATTTCCCATTAATAACAAGTTTAGAGAGGGTTGTGATTGTGCTCTCAATGGAGTTAAATTTTGAGACAAGGAGGTCTCGGATCAGCCCAAACTTCTTAATAAGTTGGGAGTCCCTAGTGTGTGGGGAGAATTCCCACACACATCTACCTTTAAGATAGACCCCGTGTACTCATTTCACCCAAAGTGTATCACGTTTGAGGTGAATATCCCACAAGGTCTTGGCAAGTAAAGCATTATTCCAAGTCTTGGTATGTCTTATACCCAAGCCCCCATCCTCTTTGGGAAGACACATATCTGCCCAAGCAACTCTGGCAAATTTGCATCCCCAGAAGAAGATACGACAAAGTGAGACCACTCTATCAAGGATGGTTTGAGGTATAGGAAACACCTGCAACCAAAATGAATGTACACCCTGGATAACAGATGTAATCAATTCAGTTCGACCAGCATATGATAGTGTCTTAGTGTTCCAAGAGGTAAGATAATCTGAGACCTTTTCTAAGAGAGGGGCATGCATACTCAGCTACAGAAAGTTTAAGTGGGGAGAGTGGGATGCCAAGGTATTTGACTGGAAAGGCTCCAACTTTGAAGTCCACCAAGTCAAGAATAGCCGTTAGGTCATGGTCGACCCCCCCCCCCCCCCCCTAGAAAATGTTTGATTTGTCAAAATTAACCCTTAGCCCTGATACATCACCAAATTCATTCAATGCATCAATCAAAACTTTAACAGAGTATGTATCCCCTCTACAAAACAACATAAGGTCATCAGCATAAGCAAGGTGTGATATCTTTAAACTACCACATTTAGGATGATAATTAAAATCAGATGTAGTTTTCAAGTTTAACAATCTTGACAAATATTCCAAGCATAATACAAATAGAAGAGGGGACATAAGATCACCTTGTCTTAATCCTCTCTTCCCTCTAAAGAAACCATGTAGTGTTCCATTGATGGAAATAGAAAATGAAGCGGTAGCGACACATTCCATTATCCATTTAACAAATTGTAAAGGAAATCCAATGTTAAGGAGTACACTCTTAAGAAAATCCAAAGAGATGGTGCCATAGGCTTTCCTGAGGTCCACCTTAATCATACACCTCGGGGAGCAATGTTTCCTAGTGTACCCCTTAACCAATTCCTGTGCAAGGAAAATGTTATCCATCATAAGTCTTACATCCACAAAAGCCCCCTGGGCATGGTCTATCAACCCCGGTAGACAAGGAATCATTCTATTAGCAATGACCTTGGTGATAACCTTGTAAAGGACATTTGTGCATGCAATTGGTCTAAAATCTGAAGCGGTGGGGGAATGTGAGGTTTTAGGGATTAAAGCAATAAGCGTGTGATTAATTTGCTCTACTAACCTACCAGATTCAAAGAAGCCCCTCACGGCTTCTATAACATCATCCCCAACTATTGACCAATTTTCTTTAAAAAAAGCAGAAGAAAACCCATCTAGCCCCCGGGGCCTTGTCATCCCCAATATCAAGTATAGCATTCTTTATCTCAATATCTAAAATGGGAGAAATCAACCCAAGGGCCAGATCCGAGTTTAGACATGTCCCGGATGAAATAATGCTAGGTTCAATTGCAGGACAACTTACCGGAGTACTAAACAAGTTGACATAAAAATTTTCAAATTCCATTGCCACTTGATCCATAGAGGTAGTTAGTTCTCCATTAGGTAGTTTTAAGGCCGTAATGGAGTTCTTGGCAGCCCTCTTTTTCACAAGGGAGTGAAAGTACTTAATTAGTACATCAATCACCTTGAAACAAATGTGTAGCCTTTGCTTTTTATCTATAAAAATCATCCTCGGCCTTCTTTAAGAAAAGAACTCTCTCCTTAGCTAATTGGAGGTCTTTCTTTATGGTATCATCTAGAGGAGAAAGTAAGAGGAGATTGTGCAATCTCTTAAATTCTACTTTAGACTCCTTTACCTTAGAAGAAATATGTCCAAAAGCAACCTTGTAAATCACATGAATGTGATGAATCACAGGTGGTGATCCCCTAAGTCGCTCCTGCATGCCCTTGTGCTATGCTACTTTTTTGACAAACATTTTGTGTCAACTGCTAACTTACTCTCATTACCTAAACTCCAAACTTCTCCCTACATTTATTATTGTATGCTCATTTCATCATGCAATAGTAGTGGCTTCTCACTTTCACAGTTTATTGTTTTTTCGCTAATACCTTTTGCCTTGTAAACTCCCCTATTATTTAACTTTATTAAACTAATAAACTTTTGTGAATAAAACTTTAAAAAAAATTACCAATGTAATTAATAACAAATTAAATAAAAAACATATGAAGTGTTAGGTTGTAAATTGATAATTTTCCATCATTCGAGTTCTATATTGATACATTTCATCTTTCGGGTCTCGAATTCATAATTGGCGAAATTCATACCAATAATCCATACTTTTAGCGGTTCTACAATAATAATTCCTACCGAAGATGTCTATATAAATAATCCATACTCATAAACACGTCTACATAGATAGATTAGATTAATTTTTTTGATATTTAATATATAAGGATACAACATTGACTTTGTTCACCATTCTCATAAATTTGAGTTTAGTGTTTTTTATATCATTACTATAATTATTTTCTTGAAGGATAATAATCTATATAGAACTACCAAAAGTACGGATTATTGGTATGAATTTTACCTTGATAATTCATCTATCTTTCAGTTTTGGATTGAAAAAATTCCTACTTTATTTCCTTATGAGACTTTGTTTTTCCAATCTATACACACATAAACACATATGCATACTCCCGTTTCAAAAAGATTCGTGAAATGAACTTTTCTTGGCATGACAATTAATTTTGACCAATGATATTTTTTAATGTGACATTACTTTGATATGAAAATAATATCAAAATGTTCAATCTTCAATTTTTTTCATAAAAGTATAAAATATATAAATTATATATACATATAATCATAAAAATCATTTTGGAAATCAATTTGAGAAAATAAAACCGGGAATATAATAAACTCAAATGAACAAAAAAAGAAAAACAACAAAGAATAGAATGTCTAACTTTCCCTACATGTTTATTCACGCGAGAAGTCATGAAGAAATCCATGGGGAAATATTCGATGAAAAAGTTGGGCCTAAAGCTATTTCCAGGCTCAAATTTATTTACAAAACAATCTAAAAGTACGTAAAACCATTTTTATACTCCCTCCGTCCCGAAAAGATCGACCAAATTTCCTTTTTTGGATGTTCCAAAAAGATTTGTCATTTCCATTTAAAGTAAGGAATATGTGGCTTAAACTAATTCTCTCTCCTCTGCACAAATTTCAACCACACAATTTTTACTTTATTAATCCACGTGAAAGTCAACTTTGACCAACCTTTTTGGGACGGAGGGAGTATATGTTTTCAACTTTTAACTTAAAAGTGCTTCCAATTAAATTGAAATTTGAATTTGCAAACACATTTTTAGCTTATACTAACACTAAGTTGAAAAGTGATCATAACAAGTGTTTGTAGCACTCACTACTCCCTTAATACCTTATTACGGTACTTTTGTCCATTCTACATGTCCTTTGATTTGATATACTCCATAATTATTAATAAAATTATTGAAAAGTTAAAAATGATATTTGAGATTTGAATATAATAAGTAGTAGTATAAAATGTTTTAGATCACATATTTATTTTTGAAAAAGGAAATGTGACACGTTTTGAGACAATTAAAATCTAAAGGAATAAAGAAAAATCCTAGGTAAACTAAATACTACGGAGTAGAATTCACAAAAGCAAAAACTGAATGAGATTGGGGGGTGGGGCTGTTTGGTTCATTGAAACCAAACACAGAATGGTCGGCGGGGAGTAGGCTAATAAATGCATGCCTACACGGGATTTTGGTAGGACCGCAGGAAGTGGCGACATCGGGAATGAATGAAAAAGAGAGTGCACGCGCGCGAGTGGGCGAGACTGTGTGTATTTGTCAACGCGTAACTTTGATTGTAATTATATTTATTTACGTATTAGTAAACACTAAAAAAAGTTAATATATTAGAAATTTACATTAATACAAATTTATTAATATTTTATACATAATATTTTTATTATATACTCCTTCCGTTCCTTATAACTTTGCCAACTTTTCTTTTTTTGTTGTTCCAAAAACTTTGCCGCTTTCCCTTTTTAATCAATCAATTTGTGGTTCCTGTTATTTCTCACTCCTCTGCACAAATATTTACCACACAATTTTTACTTTATTATTCTACGTGCCGGTCAAACTTGGCAATCCTTTTAGGGACGGAGAGAGTATATTATCAAAAATTCGTAGTCAAAGTAGGGTGTGTGCAGAAATTCCAATGTTACAATTTTTATGGAGGAAGGAAGTACTCGGTAAGATTGATTGATTATTCAACGCGCAGGTGAAAAAGTTTCGTTCCCTGTGCTGCGTCGGATGGCTTTTTATTCGCTCCTTTTCTCATTTGCCTCTCTTTCTCTTTCTCTCTCCTCCTTCCCTTATTTGTGTGGAGAGGAGACGACGCTTACTTTTCTTCCTTTCCAATTATTTGTTCTTTTTTATTCTCCTGAGCGAGCTGCTACTGCTGCTTCTGCATTTTTTCGATCGGAGGTTGGACGGCGACCAGCGGGCCTTTGGCCCTGGAAGCCGCTCAGAATTCCGGCGGGAAGCTGCTGCTGCTGCTGATGGAACAACAACCACACCGGACTATTTCTTTCTCACCCGGAAAATGATGGATTTTGAAGCCGCCCCCGGAATTTCCGCTCCAAGGCTGCCCGTCCTCGAAGCTCCTCCCTCCCTCTCTCCGTCCGTCGCCCAAGGTTCGCCATTCCGCATCTCTCTCTTTAATTAAAGGAGGAGGAGGAGGATCGGCCATGACCCTGCCCTGTTTTTTCTTTCTCGCTCACAAATAAACATTCTTCTTTGAATTTTACTGCTTGGGTATTTTTGCTCTATCTTCTATCTAAAGCAAATTCAGGGCATATTTTCATTTCATCCCATTATATCGAATCCATTGATTTTATAAGAGAAACGTTCACACTAACAGTACTGGGCTAGTGGCCCCTAATGGCCTAATGTACTTGTTAGAAGGAAGTACCTTAATTATTTCGTTCGGGTACCACAATGAGAGTGTTTTGCCTTTGTTGTTCGATATTTACTTAATTTTATTATTTACTACTGGGACGTAAGTTCTTGCGTCCTGCTCCTCTGTTGAAAATGGAATAGTAGTAAACCATATCTTGTACAAATTTATGCAAATGGTAGCTATTTATTTTATACTCCCTCCCTCCCAGTTTAATTGACATCTTACACATGTTAGACATTTTAAATGGGCAAACTGAGAGATTAATACAAAATATGCATGGAATTCTTAAAACTACAATTATATCAGGGAAATTGTGGCTCAAATGATAAATAATTTTTGACAGATGGAGTATAAGTTTGGAATAAGATACTCCTACTACATTGTAGTGCTGCAATCACTGAGACTCTCCAATTACAGACATGTTGGTTCTTACTATTTCAGATTCAGCTTGGCAAATGAATTTGAGATCAATGGAAACAATGGAGTCTGGACACTATCCTGTACGGGATGGTGAACCAGATTGTTCCTACTACATCAGAACTGGTCTATGTAGGTTTGGAGCTTCATGCCGATTTAACCATCCAGCTAACAGGAAATTGGTAAGAGCAATTTTCCTCAATTTACTGCATAAGACGTGTGGTGATGCAATAGCTTGGTTTAACATCTCCTGGAAACTCATTTTATTTCATTGTGATCTCTTCCTGCATACATAGGTATTAGTCTATTTTCTTGGACTCACACTCTGACTCACAAGAGTGGACTATGGCATAAAGTAGATTCCATCCATCAGAAAATGAGGAAATGTTAAAAAGCAAACCAAAAAAAGTTTGAAAGCAATTCAAGAAAAAACAAAAAGCAAACCGGGAACAGACAAAAAACAAATCAGGAAAAGATACCAACCATAAAATACACAAAATAAAATAAATTATATAGCCTTCTTTTGTTGCAAGCTATTCTTCTATTGGGGGAGCTAAGACGTCCACATCATATGGAGTATAAGAGAAAGATACCCAGGATAAGTCGCTTTTGATGTGATAAAAAACAGAGTTAACATGATAAATGGCAGGTGCCATATGATGTGGATGCATTATAGATAATGTTTTTTTCCAACGATCCGGATGGGATGGCATACCAAGTTAAGATCCCATGACTGATGACTCCCTGAGTTAGTATGTTTTTCCCTTAGGGTCAGTCTGGATAGAAGGCTTTGGATTGTTTCAGTTAGTTATATCATCACTGATATAGTGTCATCTTAAAATGAATTATGGGTGGTTGCAATGTTTTATGATCACATATTATGTTATTCCTTCAAATTTTATAAGTCTCATCTGATATTTTTTCCCCAATTTTATCGGATGTCTCCGAAGGGGCAAGTCTCATCTGATATATATATATATATATATGTGTGTGTGTGTGTGTGTGTGTGTTAGGTTTTGGATCAAATAAAAAGTCTTCTTTCCGTGAAAACTGCACCCTTAATTTTTTCGTGAAGCTGATGCAATTTGTATGTTACACTTTTTTCCATTGACAAAAAACTTTGATTTTTAATAAAAGGCCTCCATGCTTTTTTATCTACTTCTATATTGGAATTACTCGAGTCACTCGACCGAAATTCCAAAAGTGGAAGAGACAAGCTGCAAAGTGCATGAAGTTGAGTAAAATGTGACGGTTTGCAGTTTGCACGTTAAGGGTGCATCAAGTTGGTTGTGTGTGTGGAGATGTAGAGTTACAGATTTAACCTTCCACAATACTCCATCAATACGTACCCTTAGGCCTTAGGTGCGAGATCACATCTATTGTTTTATATAGTAAAACAGAGTTATAAACCACTGAGATCTTTTTCTCTTATTGGTTAACAACATTTAATTAAAATAATGGATTAGAACGAGCAAGAGAAAAACTCATCAAAAAATAAGAGAAAAAGTAGGAGAGAAAAACTGGAGGAAAACATAGAAGAAACACGAGAAAAACAAGAGAGAAAAACGTAGTTATACACTCACACTCCGTAAAGTCATAAACCATACAAACATAAGCACTGAGAAATTATGATTTAACCAGGCTGACAAAATGAAATTCCTAAAATTAATACTCCCTCCGTCCCTTAAAACTTTGTCATCTTTCCTTTTTGGGACGTCCAAAAAAACTTTGCCACTTTCCCTTTTAATCAATTATTTTGTGGTTTCTGTCATTTCTCTCTCCTCTGCACAAATCTAAACCACACAGTTTTTACTTTATTATTCTCCGCGCCGGTCAACTTTGGCAAAGTTGTAAGGGACGAAGGTAGTATAAATTAATGAATCCACTCATTGAAGGAACTAGGTAACCCAAATTTTTCAAAAAACAATTTTAAAATGTAGTAATATTTTCAAATTAAAATATAAGTTACGTACGTGCAAGACTAAGCACAATTTTATTGGAAATCAGCTAAGAAAAATATTATACATTTGAGACTTATTTTTTGTTACAACATTTTTATTTTTTAATCATATATCTCTATTGTTCATTCATTTGGATATTTGGAGGAGGTCAACATAATTAATATCTCGTCATTTTTCTTTGAACATTATAAAAACATTATGTTATTCCACGTCAGAACTTGCTTTAATTCGATTGGAAGATTGTTTTCCCAACAAACAACCCCAAACATAGAGTTACATATGCCTAGAAATTGAACTTAATTTATGTTACGTTGCTGAATATCAAATCAGGATAAAAGGAGTTTTTTAATATAAAAATGTGGCTCTTTATATTATGTTGAAATATGTTTTTAGTCTCTGCAAATATAATGCATTTTGTTTTACGCCCCTGAAAAATTATATTTTTGTTTTTCGTCCCTATAATTTATGTTAGATTTCTTTTTAGTCCATCACCGATGATAACAATCTCCGCTTGACCTCAAAGTAACCTCAACTAATAGATTTCCTCTAATTATTTGTCATGTTATTCAAAAAGTATTTAATTTTGTCTTTTCGAAGGCTTTCAATATATATTTCTAAAATGTGAATACTTAGTTTTACATGATTTTAACTCTCATGTTAGTCTCAAAAAAATTATAAAAGGAAAAATTTAAATATTTTTAGTAAATTTATGCAGTTGACGATATTTTTTTTTCAAAGTAGAGTGGTTTCGAAGTTCGAGATAGACTAAAAACAAAATAGTGCATATTACTGGGATGAAAAACAAAAACAAAAAAAATTTCATGGACCTTAAACAAAGTGTGTCATATTTACAGGGACTAAAAACGTATTTAAGCCTTTATATTAATATCGAAAAACATAAAAGACAACGTAACCTCTAAAGAATTGTTACATAACCAATTGTAAACCCTAGAAATATATATATACAACCAATTCATACAAAGCAACCCGACGGGCTAAATACGAAATGGATTATTCTAAATCTAAAATGACCAGAATCGAAACATTGTCTATCGGAAGTAGTACACAAAAATTCCAAATATCCAAACCAAACTACTTGAACTAAAATTAAAACAAGTACTAATGATGAAAAAGGGAAAATGGGTCAAATACACCCTCTTACTATTTTCAATCCATTACTTAAGTCCTTTTACTCAAAAAGAATCATATAAGTACGCTTACTTTAAAAATGCAATCAATCAAGCCCTAAAATTAAATTAGGAATATTGATAAATCTTACAAAATTTCATATAAATTTGAAAAATAATCTAATAATAATACAAAAAAATAAAAAACTTAAAAACCTTTTAAATAGATGTAGAACATAAGAATAATTTAAAAAATTAAAAAATATTAAAATTTGATATTCTAAAAGTTTTCACAATTTTTTGTATATATTTCTTCAAATTTTAACATTTTTTAGAGTTCTTAAATATTAAAAACTTGCTATTACATGTAAAAAACTGATTAAATGGTCAAATTGATCACTTTATTAAAGTATGTGTGCTAATATGATACTCCCTCCGTCCCATTCGAAGGTTCCCACTTTCCTTTTTTGGACGTCCCATATAAAGGTTTCCATTTCCATTTTAGGAAACAATTAACAATATCAAGTGACAAATTAATCATTTAATATTAAAAATAATACATTTATAACATCACAGTTATCAGAACTAACTACATTATAATATATACTTATTAAAATTATTTCTCAAAATATACCCGAAGTACTTTATTTAATTATTGCCTAAATAACTGTGCTATTTTGCTATGGGAACCTTCCAACGGGACGGAGGCAGTACTTTTGTTAGTACATGGTTTATGTGACAGATTGAAAATAGTAAAAGGACTTATCTGATCCCTTTTCAAAAAATAATAATACCGGAGTAAAGCATTTCCATAAAATTCTTCCTAGCATGGATGGTGGTTCTAAATGAGGATGAATTGCTACAGTTAGGTTAAAAAGGAGTTGAAAACCATATTTACATCAAAGTGACACTACCGGGGCATGCCCGGGCTTTACACTAGTCTTGAGAATACCTCACATTCTGCGCCTTTATGTGTCTCCCATGCGGATTTGTTTTCAAGAGTCACGAGTGTTAATGAAAGCATGAGAATTGTTATGCTTGTGAAGTGGTGTCCAATTGTAGATATTCAGGAATTCATGTAGATATTGCTGGGCTATGTATATTCTTGCAAACTCTTAATTCTTATCCCGGAATTTATACATTGAGAAAGTTCATACTGTAGGCAATAGCCACTGCAAGGATGAAAGGGGAGTATCCAGAAAGAGTCGGACAGCCTGAATGCCAGGTGCGAAAGACAAATTCAAATGGCTTTGTATTCAAATGCCAGCCTCAATAAAATTATACTACGTATCATGTTTCACACATGTTAGAAATAAATTCTATCCATGGCCTGAAATATAGAACCATCCGACTTTGGTAAATTTGCCGTATGTAGGACTGTTGTGATGTTTAAAAAAACTATAATGTATATTTTAAAATGAGCCATCAGCCTCTTTTATCTAGTTATGAACCCTTTTTCCATTTTCTACATCTGTTGGTCATGTCTAAATGTTTTTTATGTGTATAAATTTGTCATGAGATCTTAGGCTGTACAACTTTGTGTATGATCCACTGTCATGGATATACTATGCCAAATGTAGCCTCTGAACAAACAACTAACTAGGTTATGTTTTTAGCATGTGGCACTATGGCTTCGTCTTTACTTGGGCCTACATATCCATGGGCTATTTGAATGTTATTGTACTTTATTTGCAAGTGAATTAATTTGAACATTTGCTCAGTACTATTTGAAGACGGGGACTTGCAAGTTTGGAGGCACATGCAAGTTTCATCATCCTAGAGACAAAGCTGGGATTGCTGGAAGAGTTGCTCTAAATGCTACGGGTTATCCGCTTCGTCCGGTGTGGCCTTTTATTTTTTTCTTTGTGTACATTAGGTCTTCTATCGACATAAAGCATATCCAACTTTTCACGTCAAACCACGTTAAAAAAAGAAAGATCAATCAAAAGTAAAACGCTGCATGCAAGATGGACTATTTCCAAAACTACTTTGTCTATTCATTTAAAAAAACATGTCAGCATGTCCGATATTTGGAGATCTTCATTATCACAAGAAATCCCACATTATTGAACAAAATCTTAGTTTACTACTCCCTCCGTCCCACGAAACTTGCCACTTTACCATTCATGCGGTCAACACAATCTTTTGTTCTCTGATGTTGAGTACTAATTTTATTTTTATTCAAATTCTGTTTTTGCGCTTCTTCATAAGTTATAACTTCAAGTGTAGCTTACTAGCTTCTAAATATGTAACTTTTAAATATTAATACTGATTTAAATATTGCGTCAGAGGATTTAACTTTATCATCAGTCATACTTCGTAAACTCTGTAAGTGACAAAGTTTATTGGGACTAGGTAGTATCATTTATGATTTATGAACATGCATGCTTAAGTATTTTCAAGGATGCAATTAGATCTTGTATGGGGAACTTCATATTTCAGCTGTGTTTTCAAATTTAATCACATTTAGGAATATTCTTCTTTTTATAGCAGTGATTTTTCAGAAGCCTTTCTTCTCAATTGTTGAGAAGTTGGAAATTTGTAGTTTATGAATATTTTACAACATAATTGTTTCCAGTTGTTTTCATACTTTATTACCCTGTGAAAGTCAATATTTTGTTGCATTCAAACCAAAATAATTATCTCAAACTACTTTTTGGCAAAACCTTACTAAACAAAAGCTGGATCTGATTATAAATGATTTACAATCACACAATATTGAAATAGTCCAATTTTTAGCTATCCCAAGCAAACTCCAAAGGATATGTTTTTGATTGATGTTATGCTTTATTTGATATGTTTTTAATATGATCTTCTTTTCATTCTCTCAGGATGAAATTGAATGCCCCTATTATATGAGAACTGGCCAATGCAAGTTTGGAGGAACCTGTAAATTTCACCATCCTCAACCATCTAGTAATATGATGGTCTCTATACGGGGTTCTCCTGTGTATCCACCTCTCCATTCCCCAACTACACCTGGTCAGCTATCGTATCCCTTGTCAAGAGCTTCTTTTGTTACCAATGCACGTTGGCAAGGACCTTCAAGCTACACACCTCTGATTGTTCCTCAAGGGGTAGTATCAGTACCGGGGTTTGCATACAGTGTGAGATTCACTCTGATTGCTTTTTCTCATTTAGAGGACTTTGATTCACCCTGTGTGCTTTTTCCTAAACATTTGCTGATTCAATATGTTTATATCTGTTTGCATGAAATGCCATACACTAAAAATGAGTGTGACAAGATGACAACTCCTGATTTTGTGCTTTAGTATTTGACATGTAGCTAATATTAAGTATTAAAGAGTGTACAATACTACATCCATTCCAAAAAGTTCTTAATTCACCAAGTTACATTCTTTTTTTAGTACGGTAGAGCTACTGTAGATAATCAATTCTGCCTATATGCTTGAATCAGTTGGATTATCAACATTTAACATGCCTAGGTTGCTTTAAGAAAACATTAAATTTTGATAAAAAACAACTTATGTTGTTCAAATAGAACTTTTCTTTTTGGACTGAGGGACTAGTATATTTATTAGACACTGAGTCAACATCCGGTAGAACAGAACGCATATGGTAGACATGTAATAGAAGATGAGTTCTCTGTGAATCACCAGGAAAAGGAAATCGGACCATATTAGTTTTTGAAAGGTAGGAGAATCCCTGGTATGCTTACAATTGTAGTCAGAATAGATAATGCTGTGGATTTTGTTCTACTTTCTTGCCTGTTACGTTTGACTTGAACTGGAAGCATGAAAGCATTACATGTGCAATCTAGACTCTGATATTTATTCAGCACTTTTTCCAGGCACAGCTTGGTTCAGTTTCATCTCCAGAGAGGCAACAGCTGACAATAGGGAATAGTCAGGCTTATGGAATGTCCCGTTCCAGTGAAGTGGCTAACACGGGATCTCAAGGAATGAATCCTTCTTACCGTTCTGGCACATTGCCTGTGGGGTATTATGCATTGCAGAGAGAGAACACTTTCCCTGAACGACCTGGTCAACCAGAATGCCAATTCTACATGAAGACCGGAGACTGTAAGTTTGGTGCTGTTTGTAAGTTCCATCATCCAAGGGAAAGACTGATTCCTCCACCTGATTCTTTGCTCAGTCCAATTGGACTTCCTCTACGCACAGTGAGTTATTGTCCATCTGTCTATTCTATTTGGCATAAATCTGATATCAAGCTTTTTGATATTTCATAGCACCAGGTGTAGATATTTTTTCCAATTGTCTATTTTACTAGCTCATTTATTTAGGTAACAAAAATAAAATTAGTTCAAGACTGGCTGTGTAAAACCCTATTTATATACTTCCTCCTTCCCGAATGAAGACTTTGTTTGAATTTCTTTTGGTAGCAAAAAAGAGAGTCCAATTTGAGCAAACAAGCTAATTTTTCATGTAATTTTCCAAAATTGTCACAGTAGATTCATGCAGCACTTAGATATGATATATTAGTTAACTAACAAATAAATTTGGAGAATACAAGATCCATGATTTATGATACTTGTACCCAACCTATCAAAATTCAAAAGTTGTACGTTTTCTAAATATAACATGTTTTGGAGGATCAGAGGTATTACAATAAGAACATGTATGTGGGCTTTGCTCATTTCCAACTATAGATACATTCAACAATCCTAATAATAAAGGGAGAATTACAATTGGCCCCTTGAGGTTTGACCGTTTGGTCATAATAACTAGTTCAACCTTGCAGGGAGAACCTTTATGTACATTTTATACCCGGTATGGAATCTGCAAGTTTGGTCCAAGTTGCAAGTTTGATCACCCTATGGGAGTGTTTACTTACAGTCTCTCGCCATCATCTACAACTACTGATGCCCCTCCTGCTCGGCATTTCCTGGACTCTTCACCAGGAACTGGTCCAACAACTCTTCTATCTTCAGAAATGCTTGCGGAGTCAAGCTCCACGAAGCCTAGGTGACTGCCATTCTCAAAAGCGAGAGGTGATGTCATCTAGTGATAGTAAACATTATCACAGAAAGATTATTTTCTTCTTGGTTACACAATCAGTATGTATGTCATTGAACATCCCTTAAGAAGTGAGTCCATAAAATTGCCTTGTAAATTCATTTCCTCTCTTGGAGATGTACAGATTTTCTATTAGTCATCTTGTGATGATGATGCGTTGACACTGAGATTCTCTTTCTTGCCCTGAATAAATCTATGCACATGCTATTGCCCTTGAACTGGATTTCCACTTTTTTATGCTACAAGTCATTTGTCTGTTGGAAAAATGTGTTAAAAATTGCATTAAATGGTGATTTTGGGGCAATTATTTGAGTGGGTCCACTTCCGATTTGGGTCGGGTCAAAGTGGTTTCGGACTGTCCTTGTTAAGGGCTACAGCTCGATATATGGTACGCTCAAAATGGATAACGGGTGAATAAGAAATTGATTCTCGAAATTCACTCGTTGAAATGGAAAAACTGGGAAAATGATGGGTTTCTATTGTGTTTTATACCACACTGGAAAACTCTCTCTTAGGCACAACTGGGAAATTCGATATATGGTTCACCCCCTTATAAAGGGAAGTCTCTTTTAAGGAATTAAATTCCTAAAGGTAAAGGCTCTCTCTTAGGCGCAACCGGCGCGAGGGGTGTCGATCAAATCCCGAAACGGAGAAGAAAAACCGTGACTCATGTGCATGGGCAACCTACGGACATGAATGCCGTTCAAAAATCTATCATTCAAAGATACGATTTAACTTTTGTTTCTTCCCGTAACGTTCCTTAATTTTTTCTAGATCGGCAGAACTGCTCCGGACAGAAGGCTTCATACCAGAACACCTCGTGAAGGTATTCTGGTGGCTTTAGGCATGGATTCGGGTCGGGCCGGGCTTAGGCCCGGCTGGGCCGCCGGTTTGTAAGTGATGGGCCCGGGACTGGCCCGAGGTCTGGACGGTTCGGGCCGGGCCACCCGCTGGGCTGGGCCGGTCAAATCCATTTTTTTACTTTATAGTTTTATACAAGTATTAAAAACAAACTTTAAGTGCATTTATTTGAAATGAAATAGGAATTACATTTGACAATTAAGAAAAAAATACAATAAGAAATACATTTTGTAATTGTAAATTTGTAATCAATCGGAACTTCCCGCACCTTCCGGTCCTTTAGCTTTGTCACATGACTTAATATGCTTCATTGTCATCCCGTATCCGCGTGAAACCCCCATGCTACACTTTTTCCCGCACCATTTGCAAGTTGTGTACCACATCCCGATCCTGAGGTCCTTCTGCTTATCAAAATTATACCGTATAACGGCATATTGACTTTCCATCTTAAAAATGGTAGATATAATAATTCTACAAATACTACAATAGATGGAAATGAAGATGGAGGGGGTGTTTGGATCTGATTCTTAAAACTGATTCTGCTCCTTCAAGGAGCAGAAACAGAAGTTACACTGTTTGGGTGAAAGTGCAGAAGTGATTCTGGTGCTCTAATTTACTCCTAGAATCAGTTTTTTAGAAGTTGGGGGTGACCAGCTTCTGAAAACTGATTCTGATTCTGCTTCTTCTTTAAAAAAGAAGCAGAAGCAGAATCAGTTCCAAACACCCCCGGAGAATGTAGATTAGAGATTGAATGTTGGAGAAGATGTGTATAAAAATGTTAGAAAATAAGAGTATTTATAGAATTTTTTGTACCCCCATCCCCACCCCACCCTCACCTCCGGTATTCTTTTTTCGGATCAATTGGGTTGTCCTCATACATTGGCATTGGACCAAAAAAAGCAGCATAATAATTCAAACATTCTTCTAAAGAACTAAGTCTAAAACGAGGATCGAGAACAAATGCAATACCATAAATATGCAGAATATGTGAATAATATTTTAAAAACTTTTCCTTCATAAAACTAGAAAAATAACTCACATAATCAGCATTTTCAAAATTTTAAAAAGCACCGGCGAGATTAACAGCTTAATGAATAAATTGGTTTTAGGTAGGTTTATAAACATGACTAAAAGTTTCAATTGCATTATTAAAATATATCTGATGGAGTATATGACCCAAGAACCCCTGGCCCATAGACTCCTCCTACTATTCTAATGGAGGCCCAATAGGCCCAGGAAGCACAGCAGGCCCAAATCACGACGCCCCAAGTACTAAACAACCCACGTGGCACACTAGGGGTGCCTTCGGCCCCCTGACCGAAGGCTCCAATTCTCACAGGATGGCCAAATCAAGAAAACAAAGTTACTGAGAGAAAACGACGAAAATCAGTAGCCCTCGGCACCTAGAGCCCTCGGCACTAAGGAGGTCCCCGATACTCAGAGCCCTCGGCTAATCATCTACAGCCGAGGGCACATTTTCCGACATAATATCCGCCCCACATGCGCAGGGATCACCGTACCAAGTACGACGTCCCATCCAACAGTCGCATTAAATGCGGCCACATGCGATTGCCAGCGCCAACCAGTTGAGGTGACCCCTCGGCCAATGGATGCTTGACACGTGTCTCTATCTGACATTTATTGCTACTATAAATAGCACCCCATTTCCCCGTTGTAAACCACGCTAAAAAGCCTTAACTTACATATTCAATACACTTTCTCTCTCTTACTTGCTCTGACTTCTCTCTAGTTATTCCCCGTAATAACCCCTCAGATAAGCTACCCCCAGGTATACTATCTATCATTTGGTGCTCTCGTTGAGAGGTTGAATAATCAAGTAAGAAGCCCTCCCCCTCGCCAAACACAAAAGCACCTAGCTAAAATGGTTTGAACAACTCGTGCCAACTCCAAGAATGTTGAGGACGGGAACCTGGCCCTCGGCGAAGTCGACGTCCCCAAAGCCTCTAACAGGGCTCCCGGGGGCGGCGTCATCGCCGGGTTGGACCAGACAGCTGTCGACCTACGCCATCAGATTCAACAGAATGCCCCCGATGCCCGACTCGGCATTGAGGCCAAGAAAAAGGACCGGAGCGAGAACCAAATTAGTCCTCCGGTCATCACAATCGACGTACAATCGGCGTTTTCCGCCTTCATCCAGACGCTCACCCAGAACCCGGGTGCCTTCGGCACTTTGGTTCCCCTTCAACCTCAGGTCGGGGAGAATATCATGCCACCTCCTCATCCACACCCCCTCGGGAACCCGGTCCTCTGGATTGGGAACGTCGAGGGGGTCGTGGCCCAAGATACGGCCTCCCAGGAAGTCCAATCCCGGGACCGCCACAACGTAAACAAAGAACAACTCCGGAAAGGCGTTCCAGAGGCCTCAGGAAAGTGGCGGATCCGTCTCCAGGGCCAATGAAAGGCGTCCCCCTCAGGACAAAGGCAAGGCACCTCTCCATGCCACTGACGCCCGCCACCAAATCAACCAGGCCCACTCGGCCCGTGTCCATTCGCAGGGGGCGGAGGCCCTCCCGAAGGACCCCCGGGATGAAATCATTGCGGCCCTTCAGTGTCGACTTGACGAGATGGAGGCTGCCAAAGCACACGCCACCACTTCTGCCCCTCATACAGACCTCAAGTATGAGGCCATGTTGGCCAAGATGGAGGAAATGCAGAGGAAGATTACCGAGGGCTCCGGGGAACCCACTATCTAGCTCCGGACCCGGACGCCATTCACCCCAAGGGTATTGGTGGCCCGGATCCCGGAAAAACACCGAGGGCAGCTCATCAAGCCCTACGACGGAAAAACTGACCCCCAGGAGCACTACAACAGATACCAAAACAGCATGATGATGGTGGGGGCATCGGATGAGTATTTGTGCCGCTGGTTCCTCTCCACCTTAGAGGGGCCGGCTTATGAATGGTTCAATCGATTGCCCGAGGTCTGCATTGATTCATGGCAAGAACTCGCCCAGCGATTCTTGACGCAATTCGCGGGAAGGCACCGCACAAAAAAGCACTTCTCCCACATGTTGACAGTGAGGCAGAGGAAGGAGGAGACCCTTCGGGACTTCTTGGAGCGCTGGAGAACGGAGGCTGATAAAGTTGATGGCACTGACGACGGGACCCTCCTGGCCCTCCTCCAAACAGTACTCCGCCCCGGGAACTTCTCGAGGAGCCTCATCATCGAACCCCCCCCCCCCCCCCCCGCGATTATATAAGGGCCCTACAGCGGGGGGACCGGTACGCCGAAGCCGAGGAGGTGGAGAAATGCCATCACATCCGGGATCAGCAACGCCCTCGGCCAGACGAAAAAGGAAACCGGGGGCCAGGGGCACCCCGTAATCAACCCAAGGATTCTGCCCCCTCCGGTGATCGCCCCCGGCACGGCCAAGCCAAGCCCGGGGGAGGCTACAAGGGGAACCCGAGGGCTTGGGCACAACATGTTCTCCTGGAGCACCCTCGGACACCCTTGACGCACCCCGTCAACGTCATTCTTTATTTCGCTGAGGAGAGGGGCCTGGTGGAGCGAGATTCCCGCGCACCCCCGGAAGTATATGCCATCAATCCAAACTACCCCTACTGTTGCTTCCACCGGCATCAGGGGCACAGAACTGATGACTGCCATCAGTTGAAGACGACCATCGAAAGATTAATACAGGCGGGTCATTTGTCCCAGTTTATTCAAGGCCCTCAGCAACAGGGCCCCCCTCACCAAGGGCCAACCCGAGGGCAAACTGCGAGAGCAAATGCATGGGTCAACCCCAACACCATTCCCCTCGGCAAAAAGAGGGAGATTGGGAACCTGGAAGAAGAGGAGGAGGAGTACCCCCGGTACCAAGAGAAGAAGCGCCACATCCTCATGATCACCGGGGGCAATACCGGGGGTGACTCTACAAGTCAACGAAAGAAGTGGGCTCAGTCACTTTACGTGGGGGAAGTCACTCATATGCCCCCAGTAAAGCGGCTGAGGGAGGAACCCATCACCTTCACTAATGCTGATCTCCCCCCAGTGTCCTCCCCACACAGGGATGCCCTCGTCATCCGCACAAAGATCAATGACAATATAATTCACCGAACTTACATTGACACGGGCAGCTCCGTCAATGTAATGTACCTCAGTACCTTCAGAGAGCTGCATCTGGAGAGGGGGTCCCTTCGGCCCATAAAGACTGATATCCATTATATTTACTTGTGTTTAACATAAGTATTTATAAGTATTTGTTGGAGAAAAGAAGAGAAATTGGTAAAATATCTTGAGAATGAGAGTTAGAGCATAAAACATTGTGATGAACGACTTTTGGGACCAAAAGGATGACATTTTGCCCATCATTTGAGTATAACGTATTGTAGAGAACTCTAAATCACTCCATTCGAATTTCATATAAATGGTAACTCAATAAGGTACAAATGTTA